CACTCGGTTATGAAGCTTGAATAATAAGAGAGGCGAACTTCGGTCGCTTTCGCTGCACGACCCGCCAAAATAAAAGTCCTAACAGACAACTAACTGAAGACACACGGTTATTATTATTATTATTATTAATTTTTTTAAGACAAACTTGAAAATGTCGTAAATAATTATTTACATTTTACATTTCTATAATATGTTATTATGTAGCATATTATTATGGAGATAATTGGGAAGAATGTTTTTGGAGCGTTTCCAAATGACTTTTATTTTGCCAGAAATCGGAAAAGTTTATTTGAACATTTTTGTTTTGCTTTTAAATGATTTTTAGATGATCAGCACCGGATCTACATTCCTACTAAAATAAGACTGCGTTTCTTTTTAAACTGTAAATCGACCGAAAGCGCACTGGTGTGCAAATTATTATTTAATTATTATTAAAGGGGTCATATGATGCAATTTCATTTTTTCCTTTCTCTTTGGAGTGTTACAAGCTCTTGGTGCATAAAGAAGATCTGTAAAGTCATCATATGACCCCTTTAACGTTAGGTGCGTCACAAAATGTACAAACTGAAGCACATGATCAGTTTGTTCTCTAGATGGCGCTATAATCAAGTCAAAAGCAATACTCTGTCCAGGATCACTGAACTCTCGGACTAATGAAAGGTCTTATGGCAGGGCACATTCTTTCTTTTTCTTTCTCTGTTTTGCTTTTGGTGATTTAAAAGCATTAACAATCTTTATCACATAAAGGGCAGTCATGGCCTGATGGTTAGAGAGTCGGACTTGTGGGCAGGGACCTGCACAGACATTTTGAGGGGCAGGGGCTCAAGTGGGAAAAAGGGCACTTCTCATATTTATTTTAATTTTTCCATAAACAAAACGTTAAATATATTAGGGGTGTGCGATATTGCCAAAAAAAAAAAATCTCGATATTTTCTGGGATTTTATCGATAACGATAACTAGACAACATTTTGCTGAGTGTGTTATTGTGCTGATATCTGATAAGGATAAGGTTGATAAGGACTCCCGTGGACAGCTGACTCCTAAAGTTTTTAATATTCTGCATATTCTGTGTGGTGATCAGTTCACAGCAGTGACAGAAATGAATCTTAAGTTTAAATTGATTTTTATCTTTAATGGGCATTTGTACCTTTATAAAGCCATTTTTTCTAAAATTGTGCATCATCTTTTCAGTCAAATTCTTAACTTGAATCAGTCAATTAGAATAATAAGTCATTTAGGCCGTTACCAAGCAAATGAAATCAGTACTGACAAAATTAATCTTTGCAATGCAGAGGAAACACAGAAGCTGCATCTGAAGTGGCATTTCGACAGAGGTAGACAATCCAGGGGTCAGAAAGTAAAAGTCCTGCCATATATTTATTCCAGCCATGAACTCAGCAGCTGATTTCACCAGAGGAGGAACCAAGTCATTCCTTTCAAATCACAAACGAGTCTCGAGTCATATCCCAAGTCCTCAAAGAGTTAAAGTTAATGAGATAATTAAGTGACTAATTAAATGATGATTGTGCATTAGTGATGAACACCTGCTGTTATTGAGAATTACAGAGGATCAGATGCTGATGTTTTATTGGTTAAAATGATGCCACCATCATGGAGATGATGGGTAAAAAAGGGTAAAAATAGAAAATCATTTAGATTTCATTTATTCATTTATCATTTATGAAGACATAACTTAGCAAAAGTAAAATTGAAAAAAGGAGAGAACATGGCAGTTATTCATTTATGAAGTAACTGAATTATTTAATTAAATTTTTTTTAAATGAACCTTTGGTTTCATTTTTTTTATTTTTGCATTTGCACCATATGGTCTGAAAATTAAATTGTGAAGCATTACACAGACCGTGAATAACCAGCGCTCTATTCCACCCTCAATACCACGACTGAGGGGAGACCCTTGAGCAAGACACTGAACCCCCAACTGCTCCCCGGGCACCGCAGCAATACCGCTGTCCACTGCTCGGGGGGGTGGTGTGTTCACTACTGTGTGTGGTCACTTGGATGGGTTAAATGCAGAGCACAAATTTCACCATACTTGGCCACATGCCACTTCACTGTTTCACTTCACTTTAAAAGCGTGTGACTTTTTTCAGAGCTAGTGATTTTTTATTTCCTCTTTTCTGCCAGGTTTAGGTTTGGCAGTGGATGCTGATCTTGACCTGTCTTTGAACCAGTCCAAATGGAGAGGAATGGCTTTTCCCTTATCCAAACACACACACTCTACAAATGCTATCAATACACCTGTCTGGTGACAGGACAGATTTGGCCAACGACAGGGTTGCACTGCTTTTAATGCCTTATTGTTCATATTTTATTGAGGTTAAGAGCTGTTTTTAAGACGTGCTGAAGTTGCGTTTGGTCTCGTACTGTATTACATACATTGTCAGTGTCGTGCGCTTGCTTAGACCTTTGTTGTGATAAACAGTAAAGTGTGTTCAGCTGAATTCAATTTCCATTTTGTCAAACGGGTATAAAAAAGGTTTAATATACCATGGCAGTGGTCGTGTGAAGCCCTCCTCATGTGAAGACCGAAGAGTGTAAAGACCATCGACTCTACCGTGCGACTCCACCACTGGTAAGGGATCGCTTTTGACTCATCCTCTTTTCTACACCTTGCTTCACTTCTGTTTCAGTTTTAATGACCAACTCTTTATATGTGTTTCCATATCCCTACTATTACTACCACTCACAAACCACGCATCACACACTATAGGCAGCGCAATCATAACAACCTGTGCACTTTGCCTATATCTGCTAAAACACTACTTTCTTTTTCTTTTGGTCTCTGGAATTGTCAGTCTGCAGTAAACAAAGCAGATTTCATTACATCTATTGCTAGTCATTCAAGACTAAACCTCATGGCCCTGACAGAGAAGTGGATCAAACCAGAGGACACTGCTACTCCTGCAGCACTCTCCAATAATTTCTCTTTTTCCCCACACTACCTGTGAGATAAGATTCAAACCAGTGGAGTGCAGATCCGGTGATGGCAGACAGGAGAATCTGATGATTCACAGTGTCAAAAGAGGCAGATAGATCCAGCTTTGTTTCTAGCCCTTTTGTCTTCAGGTATAAAATTATATCCCACAAGCAGAACTTTGGGAGAAGCTAGGATTCATACAAGGGTAAGATTGCTTGAAGGAAGACATGCTAACATCGCTTTTGATGAACTGCTACACTACCATTTCAATAAATTCTTCTCCCCACAAAAATTTTGGTCAAGCCTACCTTTTTTTTTTTGTATTTGAGAAATCTAGTACATTGGTGAGCCACCCAAAAGACTGCTCAGCAAAAATACAGTAAAGATGATGATGCATGGGGCCACTTTTTAGGTTAGAAGGGGTATTATGCACTGGCCTGTCTAGACTGATATTGTCTTGACAAGAAGTTAAAGTGGATCATAAAGTGTCAGTTGCTGTATTTACATCCAGAGATGAGAAATGGGTGGGTGAGGGAAGAGAGGATGACACTACAGAGGAAAGATGGAAGGGTGAAAGGGAGCGTAGGTTTTGCCTAAAAGTAACTGGTAGAGGAATTGGTGGCACACAGGTAGTAATATGTAGGTTAAATGTAATAAAGAAATGAGCAGAGATGTCTAGAGTTTTTACCAAATTTTTTCTGTGATACAATTGCATGTGTAAATTAAGTCAAGCTGTTTGCCTGATTTGTTAGTGCTTGTGGTGGTAAGCCATATGAGATCGAATGACGCTAGGAGTGGAAGTGGAAGTCTGCAGTGTAAGGCTTCTCCAGATGGATTTTGAAGTCACCAAAGACTACAAGTGGACTGCCATCCACAGAGAATGAGGACAGCAGCCCATACAGCTCCTCTATAAAGGTGCCCAGTTGACCAGGAAGGCGATAAATCATTACAATATGGAGTTTAACAGGAGCTGTTACCAGCATGAAACTCAAAAGAACTTTTATTGCATAGGGAAGAGTGGGTTGAGTATTTCCAATTATTAGAAATGAGAATACCAGTACCCTTCCAACCTGAAGGGGTGTGAGAGAAAGGGAAGTTGTCAGAGAGAACAGCAGGGGTTTCATCTCTTCCATCTTTATTTGACCCTCTAACTCTAGCACTCTCTTTTCTAATTCTATTCTTAAAAAAACGCCCCTTTTAGACTTGCACTCTATTTATTTACTAACTGCTTGTTTTCTTTAAAAAAAGAAAAAAAAAGAAACTAACACTAGCTTCTCTAATCTTTTTGTATTCCATCTATTTGTTTTCCTTGTTATTTATTATACAATTAACAAAAGCAAAAAAGGCCTCTAACACTAGCTGCTCTATTCTTTGCCTATTCTATCTTTTCATTTAATTTTTTACATTTTTTTTTCATTTTCTTTTATTTATTATATGATTTTAAAAACTTTGCTATGTGTACTGCGTTAAGCTAACTGAGATTTGTTATAGCACTTGTATATCATTGCTCTTTTGTTGATTTTGATTGCTTCCATTGTCCTCATTTTTAAGTCGCTTTGGATAAAAGTGTCTGCTAAATGACTAAATGTAAATATAAATGTTTACCTGTGTTTGTTTGCACACGTGATGGTCATTGCTTTGTTTTTCCTGAACGTTCATTCATTCACCCCAAATCAAACTCAGAGATGCTTCATCTGTTTTCCTACTACGTGAACTTGCAGAAGAGCATGAAAAAAGTGGAAGTGAAAATGCTAGAAAAGCACAAATGGAAAAACAAGAAAACAAACTTCTGGCATGATCCCAAAATGACTGTTTAAAGTAAATCTAGCAGTGTGTTGTGCAGTAATGCAACTGTTGTGGAATAACACAGCGATGGAATCAGAGCATCTCAAATGGCTTCTGTCGCAAAGCCTGTGTGTGTGTGTGTGTGTGTGTTTGTGTGTGTGTTTGTGTGTGTGTGTGTGTTTGTGTGTGTGTGTGTGTGTGTGTGTGTGTGTGTGTTTGTATGCTGGTGGGGCAAACAGAGGGGTGGGGTTAACATTTCAAGAGACGGAGATGGACAGTGGCAGTGACATCACAAGGACGCTGTATAAAAGCTGAAAGTGGGGAAAAAGTGATGATCTGAGCACATTTGAGGAGTTTTCCAAACCTGCAACCAGTCACACGCTCTTCGGAGAGGACGCTGATATCGGTAAGGAGCTTGACTGGACTTTCTATTGCTTTGTGAAAAAGTTAAGATACAAATGATTGCCAGCAGACTGTACCTTAGATATTATTTTAATACTTTAAATGTTTGTAATAGCAACAAAATTTATTTATATATGATTTCATTTTAAAAAATCATTTAAAAAATCATTTGTAGTAGAATTTGTTTGAGATGGGTAAACTAGTACATAAAAAAAAAATTTAAATTAAACTTAAAAGTCAAATCATAGTTTTCAAGAAGAATTCACTGAGACCGGGTGAAATAGTAAAATAACTGCAGATTAAAAAGTTTAAAATTAAACTCAAAAGTGAAAATATAGCTTGTTGCAGAATTTGTTGAGAAAGTGAAAACCAGTCATTTTTTTTTTTAAAAGGAAAAAAAGCACAAGCACAAAAAGTACAAATTGTATTTAAAAAGTGCAAAATCAATTCGAGAAGGGTAAACTAGTAAAATTAAAAATTTTAAAAGAAACTTAAATGTGAAATCATAATTTTAAAACAATTTATTGACTGTAAAATAGTAAAATAAGACTTCTAAGTATGAAGATAAAATTATGAAAAAAAAATGTATTATAGTCCATGGCAAAATTTGTTGAGAAAGTGAAAACTAGTAAAAAAAAAAAAAAATTGATAATGATCTTTAAAAAAGCATCATATGACCCCTTTAAGTAAAAATCATATCAATTAAGTTTTTTTTTTCTTTTACAGAGGAAAAAACTTAAATGAAAGGGAAAAACACATACAAAAAAGTCCAAATTCAATTAAGTGCTAATAAAGTGCTAATAATAATAATTAAAAAAAAGTAGTGAAAAAAAAAAAGTTCAAGGTAAAATAAATGAGCTAAAACGCTCATTTATTAGCCTGTAAATCAACAGTGGAGTGTGTGGTTGTGGCACAGAGTTTGATGGGATCTTTGGAGCATTAAGTGAAACTGGAAGTCCTCAAGGTCACTCAAGTGTTTCCACATCACTGGAGCCTCAAACTGAAAATACTGCAACACACTGCACTTTAGTGACCATTAGTGCAGGGTTTCACGTCAGAGATAAATGAGTAATTATATTAGATGCTACATTAGTTTAGTTTTAGTTTAGTTTAACTTTATTGTCTGTTCAGATTTCCTGAACAGAAATTCATCTTTGACACTGGCATAGAAAATACATCCTAACAGATAATACTATACATTCACATTTCACATAACAAAAAAATTAAATAAAATGAAAAATTTATACAATACAATATATATGTATGCCCACACATATGCATACACATGTGTACACACACCTACCCAGAAAGATACCTCATGATAATACCTCAATTAAGAATTGAACCAGGGGCCTGTTTCGGCTTCCTGGGGTGTTACGCATTTCGGGGGGAAGGGTTCATAGGTCCTCATATGGCTTGTTAACTGAGGGGTGTTACAGAGTATTTGTTAAATATAGCTAACAAAATATATATTGTGTGTTTGATTGGTCCAGACGCTACACTTCATTAATTACTCGTGTTAATTTATTTTTCTGTCTCATTGTTAAATTTCCATACCATGATACAATATTATGTTACCAAACAATGGTTAGGACCCTCCTATCGATGCTAAAATTTCTTAGTTTCCTGAGTAGACCTAAACACTGTCTTGCCTTCTTGTGTATATGGTCCACATTTTCCTGGAATGAGAGTTTGTCATCAATGATTGTACCTAAATATTTAAAATGTGAAACTTGCTCTACCTTTACACCTTTTATAGTAATTTGTTCATATGATACGCCAGCAGTACCGATCCTATTTTTGTTCCCACAGCATAGTTCCTTTGTCTTCTCAATGTTCAATTGTAAGTGACTATCATCAAACCACTGAACAAGACTTTCAATATACTCAAAATAAGTTAAACTATTCATGTCCAATTGGCAAGAGATTAAAACCAAATCGTCATTATTTTGATGAATGCAAACAATCAGCCAAACAAAATGCAAACAAACCTGAATGTCTATTAAAAATAATCTATTTTAAGATATATTTATGGGACCATTGGTACTAATTTGGCTAATATATAACAAAATTAAAAAATAATGCAAGTCAATAGGCTCTCCTGCCTGACATAAACTGGTCATATGAGTTGCATTTATTCAATGCATATGGTTTTAAAGTGGCTTTACAGCTGAAAGTGGCTTATTACCGGTCATGAGTCAAGCGAAGGCCATGTGGTGCTAATCTGACTGGCACATACTGAAGCACGTCGCCCATAAACGCCTTGTTTAATGATGCAAAAGCAATTCCAAACGCCTGAAATGTTCACAGAAGAATTTTGACTGGATATCTATGACAGGTGTGTGTTTTTTGGTTTGTCTTCTCACGCAGATGATGGCCGCTCACAACCGGATCATGGCCGATTACAACGTGGTTCTGAATTGCTGGAAAGACGTCGAGGCCGACTACGCGGGTTATGGAGGAAAAGTTCTGACCCGGTCAGTTCCCGACTCAATCATGATTAATGTGAATGTGGTCTGCCTGATGTTTTCTCTCTCTTCAGTTTGTTTCAGAAGTATCCGCAAACTAAGAAATTGTTCCCGAAATTCAAGGACATCCCTACGTCTGATCTGGAGGGAAACGCGGCGGTGGGGGCCCAGGGCGCGATCGTGCTGAGGAAGCTGGGCAAGCTGCTGGAGGCCAAAGGAGATCGCACTAAAATCCGCGAACTGTTGGACACCTCACAAGCCAACACACACAAGATTGACCTCGGCAGCTTCAAGGTAACCAACCACACTTTCATTCACAGACACATTCACAGGAACATTCGATTACGGCCTCTGTTCCAAAACCTAGTGAACTGACTCACTGCCTACATAGACAGCATCCTAACTGACCTAGTGCCTCAAGTGACTGGTTTTGAACGTTTACATCATTTATATATAAATAATAAACATTTACAATTTATAATTAGATAGCTTATAGTAATAATAAATTAGATAGATATAAATAATACATTATACTTAATAGTAGAATGTGCATTGAACATTGACATTGAACATTTACATTAAAAAATGTAAAAAGTAAAAATAGTATTACTGTTATATTATAACCCAGATAGCAACATAGTGTTGGCCCAGGTCCGGCCCACATCTGGCACATGTGGAATGATGATCTGGCCACATGTAGCGTGGAATGATGGCACTTGGGCGGACCGCTCCTGTTTGCCAGATCTGGGCCAAAAGCAGGACATAGCAGGACATAGCAATGCCACATGTCAGCCAAGAGCAAAGAAATAAACCACACTAAGCCTTATCTGAGCCACAAAATCTTTATATATTACTTATAGAGTCCTCTCAGCTTGTCTAGGCTTGTTAACAAGCAAAATCACTGAAGAACAGAAGAACAGAAAAAAAGAGAGACAAACAGAAACTCAAGAACTACAACTGACTGCAGCCACAGCCTTAGATGAAATCAACTGAAGATAAAAGACATTAAATCTCTGAAGATCTCAGCAGATGAGAATTAAACAACTCCACAAACAGCATCACCAGCTTCACTTATTGCTAACCAGACTGACTTTATTTCTGTTAGAGGTCTACAGAAGTTCTTATTGAGAATTAACAGGGGTTTAAATCTAACGTTTGAGCGGTCCGCCCTCATCATTCCACATGTGCCAGATGTGGGCCGGATCATCATTCCACATGTGCCAGATGTGGGCCGGATCATCATTCCACATGTGCCAGATGTGGGCCAGATCATCATTCCACATGTGCCAGATGTGGGCCAGATCATCATTCCACATGTGCCAGATGTGGGCCAGATCATCATTCCACATGTGCCAGATGTGGGCCGGACACTATGTTGCTATCTGGGAACTCACCTCATAAGTGACTGATTTTGAATGCTTTAGCTTATATTATATTTCAATAATAAAAATATTATTTTATTAAATATAAATAATAAATGATAAAACATATATAATATAAAATATGAAGAATAAAAATGGAAATTTTACTTACAAGTAAAAAGTTGTATTTGTTGCAAAAAAATTGACAAAATTACATTTCGCAGCAAAATGTTTTTGAGGAAGGCAAATACATAATAAAATACACAATAAAATAATAAAAAGTATTAAATCATTAAAGAATTGTATAATATATACAATATATTATATTGTAAACATAACAGCTACGTGACAGCTAGTTAAAAGTGAAAATTTAACTTAAAAGTAAACAGTTATATTTCATTGCAAAAAGGTTTTTGAGAAATACTTTACATTATTTCTATAAAAAATAATAGTACTAGAATTAAAATAGCAGATTTCACTTTTGACATTAGCATGTTATCAAGCTAGCAACATGATACTAAAAATTCACAACACACATCAGTTTTGGATAAAATCATACTGCCTTAAATTGTTGCCAGTAGAGGAAACTCATTAGGCCTCTTCCTTTCATTTGCACGCTGACAGATTTCAGGTATTCTTAGATACACTCGGACTTCCGCACATTAACAGTCAGTCGTGTGCAGAGGTGGACAATCCAGGGGTCAGAAAGTAAAAGTCCTGCCATATGTTTATTCCACCCATGAACTCAGCAGCTGATTTCACCAGAGGAGGAACCAAGTCATTAGGCTTGTTTGAGATGCGCCTCACCTCGCCTGAAATGAAGGCAAGAGTAGGCGTCTGCAGTGAAGAGAGGAGTGAAATAAGGAGAAGGGTCTGGCTGCAGCCTCGCGCTTGCGCTCTCAGGCTTGCATTCTCAGACACTTGCGCTTCCGCTAGCGACATCACTTGCAGGCTTTTATTTTTTATTTGGAGGGCAAGGGCAGGGACTGTAACATCGAGTGTATTTTGCAGTATTAAACACGTATTTATACCGATTTCATCAGGCTCCGCAAATTCTTCAAAAAGAACACAAAGAATGGCCTTCTCAGCTGCCATAGCTGCAACTCTTGCGTCATCAGAACACAGTGTTCAACGCACCACCGTTTCCGTTTAAACAACGTTTTGCACCGTTTTGTCGAGGCTGAACGCAGCCCTGTTGTTATTGAGAATTACAGAGGATCAGATGCTGATATTTTATTGGTTAAAATGATGCCACCATCATGGAGATCAGTGTTTGCTTTAGTTGGGCTCTTGACCCTTGACTTCTTGTGTTAGATCTCTCTCTGTAACACTGCTTGTGGTGTTGTAAAGCAGTGATGTGCAGTGAGCATTGTTGAGATTCAGATTATGAATCTCAACAATGGTGAAAATCAACAAAATGCTTAATGCTGCAATGCATGCTGGGTAACACCATAGTAAAAACTCCCATCTTGCACTGCAGTATGAATAATTATTGTCACCACTGTTGAGGATCGTATGATGAGTGTTCAAGTCTAAAAGCCTGAACAATATTGTTCTTCTTTTTTCCAGTATTTAAGCATTACGGTGGCATTCGTTTAATAGAACTTAATTGCAGTTCTGAAATAGCTGAACGTCAGTCTACAAACCAAAGAAAGACACCATCATGATGATCAATCTAGAGACTTACAAGCAAAAAGTGTAAGCTCATCTGTTATCTCGAGCTTTTAATGCAGCAATGTGTCAAGAGCCCAACTAAAGCAAACACTGATCTCCATGATGGTGGCATCATTTTAACCAATAAATCACCAGCATCTGATCCTCTGTAATTCTCAATAACAGCAGGTGTTCATCACTAATGCACAATCATCATTTAATTAGTCACTTAATTATCTCATTAACTTTAACTCTTTGAGGACTTGGGATTTGACTCGAGACTCGTTTGTGATTTGAAAGGAATGACTTGGTTCCTCCTCTGGTGAAATCAGCTGCTGAGTTCATGGGTGGAATAAACATATGGCAGGACTTTTACTTTCTGACCCCTGGATTGTCCACCTCTGGTTGTGTGTGTGTGTGTGTGTGTGTGTCTCGACAGCTGATCACTAAGGTGCTGGTGGAGGTGATGGTGAAGAAAGCGCATCTGGACAAGGCCAAACAGGGCGCACTCGAGAGAGTCATGGACCACCTCATCGACGTCATCGCCCTCTACTATGAGGAGATCGGATTCGACGGTTAAACGACACGCTGAGCGTCACGAACTCTGCGAACTCAGCGGGATCATAGAAAAAGCGCTTGTCTTGTTAATGCCATTACTGAACAGAAGTTACTGTGCAGCTAATATGAACAAAACTAGCCATAGGAAACAAATAAAAAATAAACATGCAACTGTGTTCAGAGATTTTTGTCAGGGCAGCGCCATGTTTAATTTTGGCGGGAATGAAAACGAGGCTGGAGCTGAAGTACAGCGCGTTTGATGGATTGACAACATGCTGATCGTTCAGCATTAAACTTTCAGTAGACAAAACTCCATAAACAGTTTTGAAAGTTGTGAAAATTACGTGATCTTTCTACAGCGCGTGTATAGCCCCGCACAGCCTCGCTTTCATCTGCGTTAGATTCAAAATGATGAAAGTCAACTGGAATGAGCAGAGCCAATCACGTCAGGTTTAGAATGTCAGCTGATCTGATGATGTCATGGCGCCTCAGATTAGGACTAAACTTCATTGGAATTGCACTTGAGTGATTGCACATGAATAAAATCCTTTTTAATTTGGGAGGAAATGACAATTGAAATAGTTTAATTCCAATGATGCCTCTCTTATTTTGAAAGCCCATAGATATTTGCTTCTCTACACTTGCTTTGTCTTACTTAATATACTTAATCTGCATTATAAATCATTTGCTTCGCTTTTATAAAGCAACACTTATTAATAAATGACGCTTTACGGCAGAAAACTGAATCGTGTGCCTTTATTTGTCATTCATGCATTAAAAAAAGTGTCCACCTTTGTCATTCACTACTGAATATTATAAAAAAGACAAAATTAAACAATTTAAAATGTTTTTGAGAAAAGGTTGGAAAACTAAATAAGTGACAAATCCCCCCCATGAATATTTCACATTATTTCTATAAAAATAATAGGATTAGAATTTGAATAGAAAATGTTGCTATTTTAAAATATAATTAAAAAATAGAATGCTATTTAAAAACAAGGAAGTATATTAAAAAACTAAATTAAAACTAAAATAATTTTTCACTGCAGATTTTTTTTTTTATCACAAAAAGTCATATTAGTTGAATTATAGCTGCAGTATGATTGCAGTTGAGTTGTATTTGTGGTTTATAATCATCTCACGGATCACGCCTGAATGTGTTTACGGTCTGTTTGACAAGTGCTTTATTCTAAGCTGCTGTGAAATCACATGCTAAAGTCATTTGAGCTGATCTGGGGCAGGAATGAGCTTTATTTATGACCCTTACACTTTGCTAAACCTCGACTTCTTGTTTATATTCTTCTGTATTTCCCAGAAATCTTTATCCTCAGAAAACTGTGGGCTGATCTGCAGCCGGTCACGGTCACTGCTGCCTTAAATTGTTGGCAGCAGGGACACAGGAGACATTTTCAAAGTCAGGGGGACCAAACTGTAAACAAAAGCCCAGATAGTAAGATCAGATTTCCAGATATCGGACCACCACTGCAGGCTCACTGTCGGACCACCATCATATCTTAAACTTGCCTGATCATTGAACTGGATTAAATCTTATTTCACACAGCCTAATTCAGTTTGGTTTCATATACCAAAGTCTATATTTAAAAGAGTTGGTGGGTTAGAATTTTTGTTGAAATGCGATTTCGAGATTTCTAAATTGCCTGATAAGCTTTCAAATGTAAACAAACAGATATTGCAATACTGGAAAATGATATTTACCCACAACTTTACATCACATTAAGCCATCTTGTGGAATAATAGAATTATTAAAATAAATAGGAAGATGCTATTTAAACAATAAAGGTTTGAGAGAAAAGTTCTTTATGTTGTCGATTTGATAGATGAAGATGGTCAGTTAGTTCAGTATAATGCATTCATGGAAAAATCTGCGATAAAATGTTCCTTTAGAAAATATAATACTGTGTGTAGAGCCATAACTTTTGCACACACAAAAAAAAAAGAAAATACTCTAACATATTCTGATTTAAGACAGAACTATTTAGATCGGGTCAGATGCACTATTACCTAAATAATTAAATTGTGGAGAACAAAGACACCTCCATAACGAATTTCTCATATTTGTCATAACATCATTATATTCTATGGGTTTAATGAATTGCAGACAATGTAGTTATCTGTAACTCTCATATAACTGTATTTTCACTGTCTTATCAAAAATGACAAATATATTACAATAAATTAAACTAATAATGAAAAATAAAAATACACTTAAAAATTAATACCAAATAATATTTTATACATATTTATAATATGCATTTTTCCAGTATAAATTGGGTCTTTATTCATGAAAATATATAGCAGCCTTGTTTAAACTGTAGGATGGGGGTCTCTTGCACGAGGATCATCATATTTGCAGTTCTTTGGCAACTAAAAGATTAAAACCCCCTGTTTGTACTCATACTGTATGGCAGTTATTGAATTACTTGTGTTTTTCTATTAATAGAAATTCTAAGACAAATATCTGAGACAAAGGTGACACTGAAATGAAAGTCTCCTGAGCAAAAACAGAGCATCTTCTGAGCACTGAGAGTTTCCTCTGAGCTCTACAATCAGCACATCTATAATCGTCGGTTTGATGTGTTTCTCCTCCTCAATACCAGCATTGTTCTGAGGACTTTCTGACCTTCTCCTGACCGACTGGATGTGTGTGTGTGTGTGTGTGTGTGTGTGTGTGTGTTTGTAAGGAAGCTCAGTGTCATCCTGTATTACTGTGAGAGGAAGAGGCAGGGCAGGAAAGCAGATATCTGGAGCTCTCCAGAGAGACACATCCAAACACAAGCTCACAATCAGCTCAGAATAAGACTTGTTATAGCGCAGGCATTTGATGATAATCTCATCAAACGTGAAGCTGATCACGTATGCTCAAACACACAGACACACTGAAATAATAAATAATAAGCACTGCAAGACCTTTTTTTCTCTATAGAGTGGTGCTTGATCACGCAAATCTCAGTCAAAATAGGGAATAGGGGGGTGTTTGCAGCACATGACTGTGGCAACTTTAACATTTGAAAGGATACTATGGCAAAGTTATTGGTTATTGGTAAAGCTATGGCTTTCCTTATTCAAACTGATCTTTTTTTTCATGAATATATCCTTTAACTACATTTTATGTATTATAACAATTACCTGCAGAGGGCGCCAACGGCCTTGTGACGTTTCAGCATGATTAAACCCGATGTTTAAATCCACCCCTCACCATACTGTGATGCCGTGTCCGGCCGGAGCGACGAGACAAAAACATTAAAACCCATTATAAACGAGGCATTTGTTGCATCCAGTGGGGACCAGAGGTGGACAATCCAGGGGTCAGAAAGTAAAAGTCCTGCTATATGTTTATTCCACCCATGAACTCAGCAGCTGATTTCACCAGAGGAGGAACCAAGTCATTCCTTTCAAATCACAAACGAGTCTCGAGTCATATCCCAAGTCCTCAAAGAGTTAAAGTTAATGAGATAATTAAGTGACTAAATAAATGATGATTGTGCATTAGTGATGAACACCTGCTGTTATTGAGAATTACAGAGGATCAGATGTTGATGTTTTAGTGGTTAAAATGATGCCACCATCATGGAGATCAGTGTTTGCTTTAGTTGGGCTCAGGCATGAGAAAGTGGATATCGTCTTCTTTTGGAAGACCATACAAAGTAGTTTTGCTTTCACAACGAAGCACAGTGCATGGCAACGGCAACAACAACAATACTACAGCGAAAATAAAAGTTAAGCCTTCTTTCTTTGCGTGAACATTTGGGTGGCGTTATGCAAATCTTCCCACATAGTGAGGTAGGTATGTGGGGGCGTGTTAGAACGAGCCGTTTTAGGAGGGTGTGGTTAACTCTTAACTTTTATAAAGAATATCTCTTTGGATTTGAGACTTTAGTCTTTGCGACTTTACAGATCTTCTTTATGCACCAAGAACTTGTAACACTCCAAAGAGAAAGGAAAAATTGAAATCGCATCATATGACCCCTTTAAGCCCTGTAAGTGTCAGGTCAATTTTATTTGTAGGGATTTTTACAATATAAAACAATTTTAGTCTGTTGCTAGGTGTTCTGAGTGATTCTTAACATGTTGCTATATGGTTGCTGGAGTTTTCTGGATGGTTGGTAGGGCGTTGCTATTTTAACAAGTTTCTACATGGTTGCTAGAGTTTGCTGGCTACTAGGATGTTTCTATCCAGTTGCCACAGGCGTTCCAAGTGGTTTTTAACACGCTGCTGTGTCATTGCTAGAATTTTCGTTGTGGTTTTTAACACATTACTAAGCATTTTCTGGATTGTTTCTGGGGTCTTGCTTTGCAGTTACCAGTTGCTCCAGGTATCAAGTCAATTTTTAGAGTTGTGTACTTGGACTGACATTTTGGACCCCAGAATCCGTGCGCTTTTCACAATATATACTGTTTTAAAGCAGCTAAAATAACCTTTCCTCACCAGGACACGTGATTTCAGGTGTTTGACACTTACTGATGGATGGCAAGGCAAGGCAAGGCAAGTTTATTTGTATAGCACATTTCATACACAATGGTAATTCAAAGTGCTTTACATAAAAGAAAAGAAAAAAAATAATCACAACAATAAAACAAGGAATTTAAAAAAGAGAGAGAGAGAGAGAGAGAAGGTAAGATGCCAGAAAGCCTTTTTGTCATTTCTTCGTAAAGAAAGTCCATTATTCAGGACTCGGGTTAACGACGGGATTGGTTTGCAACAGGTGAGGTTGTCATAGAAACGCAAAAGAGTCGAGGGAGAATACAGAGCATTCTGGGACGAGGTTACTGTGGTGCACCAAAAAGAGGTGAACAGGGTTATTACAGTGAACTGAAACTAAAACCATTAATAAAAACCACACACACACACATTTTTGCTACTTGAAATTAAATGTTAACTGAAACATAGCAAAATATTTTTGAAAAAAAGTTTTTTAAAAGGTATAGAGTACATTTATATTGCCAAATAAATACTTACCATTTTCATTTAGTTTAACTTAACATAATAAAATAACTAAAACTGAAAAAATGAATAACATCTATATACACATTATTAAAAAAACAACAACAACAATGTAATAAAAATAACTAAAACACACAACAAAATTAATAAAGCTTAAATGAAAATTAAGATAAAAACAGAAAATACAAAAATAAAAACTAATTCAAACTATCAATAAACTAACAGTATCTAAAATAACACTGGAGTAGACAGCATATTTAATCTTACAAATCATTGTTGAACTATTTTAGTTGTCAAAACATCAAGAAAAATGCTGCAACATTCCCTAACCATAGAAATATTTTGGCTGACATAATTATTGGATATTAAGATATTTTAGGGCAAGAACAATATTGATTGATAGGTTCAGTACCAGTCAAAATTGTGGACTTATTTACTCATTTTTTTATTATTATTTTAGAATAATAGTTAAGTTATTAAAACTGGGAAAACAAGGGAATGATAATAATAATAATAGCAAAAAACTCACCATACATTAAAACTTTTTACTAGTATTGTACTAATTTTTTTTATGAGAAACAGGACTTAAATAGCACATTAAAAACAGTACAGTAATCTGGTTAAAATCAATTATTTGATTTATAAATATTGTAAAGGGATAGTAATTTGTGGAACGTGTTAGGAGTGATTAATTCGCTACCCAATGGCTCCCCCTGCTGGATTGGAGGTTTTATTAACTCAGTACAAGAGTTAACTATAAATGCCGGG